TTGGGCAATGTTCTTTCATGTTTCACAAGTTTAAAAAAAAAAAAGAGTCTCTAAAGAAATCAAATAGGTTATTCTTTGTACCTGCAGAATGAAGGAAGAGTGATAATTCTTCCTCTAGTGTTTAAAAAAATATCTGTAACAGGATTAGAATTGTATGATAGTAGAGGGATGGATACATTAATAGCAACCTATAGTACGACCTCCCACAGCTTCCCAACACAAAATACTAATTTTAGATGAAAAGGAGTTTTGTTGGCCAAGAAACAGCGAATGGACCAAAGATGACAAAAAGAGCAGAGAGAGGAATAAATAGACTTTCTTCAAAAAAAAAAATTATGTTTTGATCTTCTCCCTTGAAAAGAAAGAGAAAGAGAAAGGAGAAGCCAAACCCTTTTGGCTGCTTCTGGGTACTTTGTTCTTTTCCCTTGTTAGGTGTCTCTTCTGAACTGTTTCATCCTGTTGTGTTCTGGAAAATGATTTTTGAAATGTCGAAACTTCAAGCCTCTTTTTGTCATGGGTTAAGCAGTTCCCCTGAACTTTGAAGGAGACCCCAGCACGAGAGATGTGAACGTCTGATGCTGCCTTAACTGGCCCAGCTTTGATCAGTGTCGGAGAAGTAAAGGGGGTGGGGGGAAAAACACATTCATAGAGAAGCCCAAACAAATCAATGCCCCGAGGTGCTGGTGGACCTCGTGGAGTTGTGAGGGGATTGTAGCTGTGTACTGATGTTCTCCACAGCACTGGAACGCAGCTCTGTGGCGTAGAGTGGCTCATAAAGCCAATGGTTCTTGATGGATATGTCCTACAGTGGGATTTCTGGGATCAAGGAGGTGGTGGTGGGTGGAAAGTTGTCATTTTATCACTGTATTCCCTTGTGTGGTTGATGGTTGCTTTACCCTGAGACCTAAATGTCTCTGGTTTAAGGAGGATCTCATCAAGGTTTTGAGTGGGAAGCTCAAAACTTGTGTCTAGGAGGACACCTTGGAGCAGGGGATGAGGTTGGCAGCACAGGACAGCAGCGTGGATGGTCTCTCTGGATGTCTTCAGAGGGTTTCTGTGCTGGAATCTGCTCTGGGGACTGCAGGCAGTGGCTGTAGTTGTGCTTCAAACTGGGCAAGGGGGTGGTTTAGTAGGGTCTAAGGTCCTCAAGAAAGGTTTTCAGAGGGTACTTTGGAGCAGGATCTACCACCCACTGTCCCAGAGATGTGAGCCTCTGGGGTCCCCCATCACCCCATTCCCTCCTCCATCAATTCCCTCCATCCAGAGACTGTGTATTGGGGAAAACAAACCTGGCTGATGTTCCTGGCAAGCTAAAGGTGATTTTGAAACAGCTATCCTTTAGAAAATGTTTGTTCTCAGAAGATTCTAAAAGGATTTGTTGCTCAACCTGCCCTTTCTGAGCTTTTCAAGGTGGTTTTGATTTGTGTGCGATGGTGACTTTTGAAAACTGTTTTCTGTGTGCGGATTCTTTGAAAATAAAGAGAAAAAATTGTGTGGAAAGTCTTTGAAATAGTCAGAACTTCAGCTTTCAAAATATTTGCAGAATGTCTTTTGCTGTTATTTATTTCCTGGGCAAGCTATAAAGGGATCAAGATTGGGATGTTTGTTTGTTTGTGTTTTCAGTGGGAGCGAAGGTGATGAGAGTGTGTGTCTCAAAATCTTACCCAGCTGAGCTGCCACACTCTCAGCTTCAGAGATGTGAGAAGTTTCCTTGCTGGAAATTGTCCCTTCACTCCTCCTGCAGAGGAAGGAAGAAAAGTGTTTACAATTAACTAAAACCTTTGATTTCCCCAGGTTTGGGGTTTTTTTTTAGACTGAGGTAGAAACCCCTCAATTTTATACTGAGCCTGAATTCAGGAATTTTGGATTCAAATGTTTTAATTTCTATTGAAAAAAAAAACCAAACCAACCCCTACAACAAAAAACACAAACAAAACCACCAAAAACAAACAAACAAACACAAACAAAAAACCAAACCAAAACAACAGCGAAAAAAAACCACAAAAAACCAACAGAAAACTGATAATGAGGATTAATTCTCAATCAGACTTATTAAAATCAAAATAAGTAATGAATCTTCAAAATAGCACTTCTCTTGTGTAAGTTACAGTTCTACTATATTTGGCAAGATCTTTCTATGTAGGTAATGTTGCAAAGCTTTATCAATTTGTAGATCATTTCAAGCTTCCAAAATTTGTGGTTTTACATGGACACCCAACTTGTGCTGAGAGAGAAGTTAATTGCTCCTGGCTAGATGTCACGTTTTGGTGTGGATTTAGGAAGCACTTCCATGAAATGATAGTTGTTGGGGATTTTTTAAACTGCCATCAGCAAATAGGCTGGGCTTTCCAAGGGAAATGAAAATTTAGCTGCAAGGCCATGAAGGTGCTTCCTCCTCCTGCAGCAGCTCAGAGTGTAGGGCTGGAGCGTCCAGAGAGGAGCTGGTGATGGGTCTGGAGCACAAGTTTGATGAGGAGCAGCTGAGGGAGCTGGGGGGAGGCTCAAACTGGAGAAAAGGAGACTCAGGGGGGACCTTCTTGCTCTCTTCAACTGCCCAAAGAGAGGTTGTAGCCAGGTGAGGGTCGGGCTCTGCTCCCATGTAACAAGCAATAGGACAGGAGGAAATGGCCTCGAGTTGCACCAGGGGAGGTTTAGGTTGGATATTGGGAAAAATTTCTTCGCAGAAAGGGTTGTCCAGCCCTGGCACAGGGTGTCCAGGGCAGTGGTGGAGTCACCATCCCAGGAGGGATTTAAAAACCATGTGGATGTGGACGTGGTCTAGTGGTGGCCTTGGCAGTGCTGGAGGAACGATTGGATTTGATGAACAGAGGGGTCTTTTCCAACCTAAATGATTCTGTGGTGGGGAGCTCTAGAGGTGACCCCTCTATCACCCACCTGACCTTGGGGTCCTACCCTTTGTGTAGCAGCTCCTGGGCCAAGATGCTCTTGCAGCTCAAGTCACCTTCATCCTTCTGAATACTAATGATGTGATTGCTTTATGTCTGGTTTGCTTCTGTTCCTTGCAGGCTGGCTGTGTTCTGACTGGAAGTGGGGTTCATTAAGTGGGGATTTAATCAAGAGCTGCTGGTTTCGCTCTTCAGTCTTTGGGTGCAGAGGGAGTTGTCTGTAGCTGAGTCTCCAAACAAGGCTTACGTGCTTCCCAAGCCTCGCTCTTTATTAGAGAGCTGCAAAAATAAGGATGAAAACAAGACTGACAGGCTACTACACAGACACGTACACGTAAATAGTAAACACTCCCAGAGGGTTCGTGTTGCATTTCTGTTTGGTAAAAGAAACCAGCAATTGCTATTATTGGCATTTAGAGCTATCTTTAAAAATTCACGGGAAAGAATAATTAGACATAAAACCACGTGGCTGCGGGATACTTCTTTGTGCTCGGTGTTTTGCTGCTTTCCAGTGGTGCTGGGGGGGTTTACCCAGCGATTTACTGCTGCCATTGTCTGATTGAGATGTATCCTGCAGCCTTGGCGGGGCAGCCCCTACCTTGCAGTGTCTCCAGAGCAGCTGGATCCTGGATGTCTAATTTTCATTTGCTTGAACAGTCAGTAGCTTGGCAGCCTCCATTGGCTTTGAGTGCAGGGATGTGTCTGTGAATATGTTTATGGTATATAAACACTATGAGTGGTGAAGACTTGCATTCATGTGAAATTAGGGCTCGGATTTGTGCGGTGTTGAGATCTGGGGATGCCTGAAAATGAGGTCACTCGCTGGGATGCTTGACTTGAGGCTTTGCTTGTTTTATTTATCCTTTGCATGGATAACGTGGCGCAGGATGAGGGTGAGAAGGGCTCCTTCTTGCTGAAGCATCAGGTATCCTCTTGAAAAGGAGGTTCAGAGCTTGTGTTCAAGCAGGTTCATGGGGGGTGGTCACTGCTGTGGGCTTGTTGTCCTACTTTTTTATTCTCTTGGCTTTTAACAAGCTAAGATCTTATGTGGCACTTATAAAAATGTTGTCCCAGTCCTTTACTAAGTGGCCTAAACCCTAAAGTTTCATGAGGGTAGACCCTGGATCTATAAACTTACTGTCCTTGGGTAATCACCGAGAAGGATTTGAATCTTCAGATAGCGGTCACAAATCTTGCTGCTGTTGCCAGTCCTCACACTTTGTGGAAGGGTGGCCGTGGGTTCCTGGGCTTTCTGGCAGTTCCCCTTGCCCACTCCTCCTTGCAGGTTTCTTCTCCCCTGTTTTTAGAGGCTTTTACCCTGGTAAGTTTTGCAAAACACCACTTAAAGGCAGAGGTTTTTTGGCTCCCCTCTGATCTGTGCAGCACTGCTATGGAGGCAGTCTTATAATCAATGTAATTGAAGATCAGAGTTAATGAGGACCTCTGTGCATGCAAAATCCCCCAAGCGATGCTGGGCCTCAGATGTTAGATAAGGAAATGATTGGGCTGAACTGAAAATCTATTTGGCTAATTAGATGATGCATATTCCCAGATGCCGGTGGGGAAAAAATACATTTTGCAAAATAAAGAAACGTAAGATTTTGTAAGAAAAGATTTTTGGCAGGAGTTCACTTTTAACTCTCAGGAAGGAAAGGGATGGGGAGTGTCTGGTACAAGAAGATGTGTGTCAGGCCAATTCACTCACCTTCAGCTGAAGGTGAAGTGGAACAGCCCATATTGCTGCTGCCCAGCTGTGCCCTGAGCATCCAGGTGCCTCATGGACACTTTCCATGAGCTGGATGTTCCAGCTGTATTGCATCAGTCCAAATTTCTACAGGGACTTGGGAATCAAATCCCAGTAGTGTAAGGGTAGGGAAACATCTGGGCAGAGGAGTTGATGGACCATTAGCTGTGGCACATTCCTTTGGAGAGGAATGGACGAATGAAGTTCTTTGGGTCCAGGAGCTGAACTCATTAGTATTTGCTAGTCTTGATGTCACAGCACCTGCTGAAGAGTAGAGTGATCTGATACTGAGCCAAAATGCAGGTTTGGGGTACTGGACTCAGCTAACACACGTTTTCCCCTCTCTCCAGGCAGCAGCTTTGTTGTGAGCGAGGGGAGCTACTTGGACATCTCCGACTGGCTTAATCCAGCCAAGCTGTCCCTGTACTATCAGATCAATGCCACGTCCCCCTGGGTGAGAGACCTCTGTGGACAAAGGACCACTGATGCCTGTGAGCAGCTCTGTGACCAAGACACAGGTAAGGGAGGCCGGGGAATAGTGAAGATCTTGGAAAGCTTAGAGATGCGAGGGAGAAGGTTTGTCTCTGGGTATTCTGATGCCCTCTGTGCTCACCTCTGCTTTAGCCTGGTGGTAGGCACAGAGGATTGAGAGGTACCAGCGGGGTCACACAGTGGTGACCCCCATCAGCAAAATGTGAAGAAGGTGGGCACAAAACGGGGATTTGAAATGGTGGATCTACGAGTTCTTTGGTGTGGCAGCTGCAGGCATGTGGAGTTTTTTCTGCGTCTAAGTTGTGCTGTTTTGCTGTGGGGTGTGCTGCGCCCTCTGCAACAGCAAGCACTGCGCTTGCTCAGCAATGGGTCACCAGTCTTGAGTGGGATGCCTTCTTGGTGCTGTGGAAACAGGTGGTCCTGTTGCTCCTGGCTTGCTCAGCATCTAAAGAGCACCCAAACCCCCATCTCCTTGCAGAGGTGACATCCCAGGTTAGCCCTGACTCCTCATGTGAGCTTCCCTCATCCCTTAGCAATGAGCTTCTTCACTTCATGTATGAGATTGGTGGCTGCAGGTAAGGATGTTGGTGTCTGGTTCTGCCAGGGGGTTTGAAGGATGGCTCACAGTGGAGGAGGCTTTTCCTAAGCCTCCCACTGCCACAGACCATCTTTAAACCCAGAATTAAAAGTCCCTCAGAGTCATGGAATGACAGGGGTGACCCTGTTCTCATTCCTCCCTGCTCGGCTGAGATGCAAACATGGAACTTTGTCTCCCAAACTCATTTTCCTGGTCGAGACAACATTCTCTTCTTAGCATTCCTGTTCCTCAAGGCTTGTCTGCGCAGAGGCACTGGCAGGCACGGCTGCAGCAGAACGATGATGCTGGAGAATTCCCTGTGTAGACAACCCTGGGTGTCACCTACAGTCCCAGGGAGGTCTGGGAGGTGACAGCAGCCACCCCAGCAGATGGAGATGGTGCAGGAGGAGGCTGTTCTCATCCAGATGTCACAGAGCAGAAGGATTGTTTCAGGCGCTGGCAAAAGGCAGCCGCCTCAGCGGGAGGGGGAAGATGCATTCAGCTGTCCCCTGGCTCGGAGGAGGAGAGAAAAACTCTGCCTCCAGCAGCAACCACAGGGAGAGCGTATGGAGCCAGGCCATGACTTCCCCGTTGGAAGAGCCCCGTGGCCGTGCTCTCCAGCCCCATGCCCTCCTTGGCACCGAGCAGGGCTGGTTTAGTCCTTGCAAGGCCTCTGCTGTGAGGAGCGGCTGTTCTCCCATGCCGGCCCAGCTGCTGCTCCCGCTGTGTCCCGGAGCAGCTTGTCGCTCTTGCTGGACGCCCCACACTTGAGCAGGATGTGTCAGATCTTGTTTGCGGGGAAGGGAGCGATGCTCATTAGCCTGGGAATCGCTCTGCTCCAGCACTGTCCTGGATCTGAGGCTTGCCAGCTGCTCTACCGCTCCCAACCCTGATACCCAACCCCCCTGCTTACCCGTGGTGAGGGCAGAGCAGCCTTGAGCTCAGCGTTCAGGTCCCTCACCTGAAATCTGTCAGTGGGTTTCTTCCCCCTCTCTCCAGTCTGAGAGTTCTCACATGGATGAAACAGAGTCTTTCTCCTGTCTATGCCAGTTAGATCTTCATGGATCGAGCAGGACTGGCTGATGGGGCTGCTGATCTTCATAGCCTGAATTTAAGGCTCCCTCAAGAGGTCCAAACTTCACAAGACCTGAACAACCTCCCACTTAAAATTAGACCTTTGGAAGTACCTGTTTGATGCCCTGTCCCAGGATGTAGCCCCAGGCACTACGTAAGTTCATCACTGTTGACCAGCCTTTAACTGGTGAGAAGTTTCCACACCAGGCTGGGGGCAGACTGCAACCCCGTGATACACTGCGTGTGCTTTTAGATTCATTTTTATTGATGTCATTCTATTTTTAAGGGTGATTTATTTTTATCACCATGAGAGAGGCAGCCCTGTGGTTTTACTGTGGGACATAAATCCTGCCTGAGTTTCAACCTTTTCGGGTCAGGGATTTTATCCTCTCTGTGAGTATCCCAAGAGATGGGTGCTGGGGTTTCCCCCTGTCCTCTGTCATCTTGGGCTGAGCAGAGCATCCATGAGAGGATGGACTGAGGTTTGTCCTGCCTAGAAGATGAAAGCCTCCCCTCTGAAGAGCAGCAGAGCCAGAGTTGAGGTCCTCCAGCACATTTATAGCTAATCTGACTTGAGCCTTACCACTGGAGCCACTCTCCATGGCAGTGAGGATCCAGCCTGGAGATCTAGTATCCCAAAGCTTCCTTACTCCAAGGTGTAGACAGACCTCTGTGGGTAGGACCTGTCCTTGGTGGAAGTGCCACAGACTCCTGCCCCACATTTGGACAGAGAGCTTCAGGTCACATATGCTCTGTCTGGTGAGACTGAAGCTCTTACCTGTCCCACCACCAAACTCTTTTGGGTTGGAGTTGTAGACAGGATCTGTCTGTACCATGTTCTGACTCCTGACACCAAATACTCCTTCAGTGCAAAGAGTAATCCCCAGTGTTTCAGGGGCTCTGAAACACTAGGAAGTGCCAAGATCCATTTTGCTTGCCTGACCTTAATTTGCCTTCCCTCACGTCTCTGTCGCGTGACTCAGTCTTTCATTAAGTGATTGCTGCCCCCCCTGACAAATTTCAAACCTGTGATGCAAAGCTCATCAGAGCGTTTTGGAGGCAGCACCGACATCTGCACATGAGCCAAACGTCGTCTTCCTCATCCCTTCTGCCTCGAAAGCGGCCAGGCTGATTGGTCTGACATGACTGCAAATACAGAAACAAGTGGGTGCTGCTGAGGGGCTCCTCCCTGCAGACATGAGAGGGTGGCCATGCCCAGCCATGGATGGGGCAGGTCCCTCTCTTGGGGTGCAGGATGTGCTCCTGGGCTGGGGAGGTTCAACCAAAATGCCCCATCCTCTTGGCAGGTGCTGCCTGTGCTGCTGAAGACGAGAACAGGGAAGGTTTGTTGTCTTCTGGGACTTGCTGTCTGCACTCTCCATATTTTGGACAGATGTGGGGAGCGTTACCAGTGCCGCTGCTTGTACCACACACTGGGATACCTCTGGGTAAAATCCAGGAGTGCTTCTTCTCTGGCCTCCCTTACCAGCACTGGGAGCGTTGATAAGAGTGTCTCTTTTCCAGCAGCATATGCAAATCCTGATTTGTGAGCACAATTACCTGCTTTGTATGCACAAAACCGATTCACTTGCACATTCTGTGGGCATCACTGAAGAGACCTGCTGGAGAATCGGTCCCTCAGGGCCAAATGCTGGAAGAAACAGCCTCTGATTTTGTGCTGTCAGGCTTGCTGGAGCAGTGGCATAAATGAGATGGATAGCTACCTTGATTAGCAGGTGCAAATGTGTTGAAAATTTTTTCCCTATCTACAAATCAGGCACTTCTTCATCAAAATTCTCTCTTTGCATCCACAATTGGTGGCACCACCAAAGCAATAGGCTTGTAAGGACCAGATGAAATGTGGTAGCAAAGGGTCTTTTCTGGAAATTGGCAGGAGGGGGTATAAAAAAAAAAAAAAAGGTTTCCATCATCTTCCAAATGGGCCAGTTTGTCACCAGCGCCACAGATGGTGCTCCTGTCTGGGTAGGACAGGGATGTTGTGGGCAGGAGACAGATGAAAGTAATTTTTACACAGAGCCATTTTTTTTTAAGGCAACCTGTTAAGGGGATTTGGAGGTTGCAGAGCTGAGCATGTAAATCAGGAGATGACCAACCTTGGCGAGGGTGTATTTGTGTTTATGAAAACAGCCATTTCCTCCTATAGTTCAATTTAATATCATGCAGGTTTTGTGCACATCAGGTAATATTTGTTTGTTCTTGTGCACTTCTGCTATTTTCGCTGTTGGAGGATCCCAGTGCCTTTATTGACTTAGACTTTTATAAGATGAGGTTCTGTCTCTCTAAGGTATGGAGTTTAATAACTTGGTCAAAACCCATGTAATATACGATTCCTTTTCCTGTGGTGGCACAGCTTGCCTCGTGCTCCAAGCAGGGCAGGAGGCAGTTAACTCCCAAGCTAATTTAGCTTCAGGCTGAAGTGTTATACATAAACAGCAATCAAAACTCGTGCCTGTGAGGGGCCGAGTTAAGGTTATCTGTGCTGTCTTTACACTCTCATTTTCTGCCATTAGAGTGTTTAATCCTGCAGCTGCTAATGTTCTTGTAATGGCATCTCTGTGCTTGTCTAGAGAGCACGGGGAGGAGGGAAGAGGAATGAGTTTCGTTGCACAGAACCGTGCCTGAACCTGTCTCCATGACTGGGCCCATCCCACCAGTGCTGCAGGGGATTCTCACCCCACCATGGTGAGCTGTGGGGCAGTGCTCACCCCAGAAGATGGCACAGCAGACCACCCTTGTCCACCCTTGGGACCTCTCGCTGCTTCCTTGGATCAGCTGGGCTCATGTGCCCTTGGCAGCGCAGTGTGGGAGCTGAGCGGATGATAATGAGAATTAAATCCATGCAGAGCCTACACTCAAGCACAATCCCTAGAGGTTAAGCTTGTGCTTAAGTGCTGTGATGGATCTGGTGAAGAGGGTGACTTGCAGCAGGGGGAGAGGAGGGATAACTGTCAAATTGACTCCAGGTTTTCCCTCCATGCTCCGTACCAGGTCAGCTGGACAGGAGCCACCTTCCCTGTCTTGTTCCTTGAGAGCTAAACTGCTTCTAAGGAAGTTGCATTTCTCATCAGGATGAAGCAGAGGCTCAGGTTTGGAAAGTGCCATCCCTGAAGAGCAAGGACAGCAGATACCAGGGGCAGAAGAGAAGCTTCTCGCACAGGTTCACTGGGAGCTGGTGCCGCTGCTGCCCTTGCTGGAGGATCTACGGCCTCAGCCAGAGGCCAGCCAGGCCTGAGGAGCAGCTCTCTGAATATGCTTCACTTGTTCACTGAATCTGGGAATTTAATGAACTATTAAGACCACTGTGCATCCTTGCCTGTGTTTAATTTTCTCTGCATTTCCTCAAAAGAGGCCCTC